TGTGTTACTAGTGAGCAGCCCTGATCCATAGTCCGGCCTCCGACAACTACACACATATAGGTGAAATCGCGTAATAAGATGGAGCAAGTAGATCCTGCCTCATGCGGTTTGGATTCATTGATACCTGCGCAAGGCCGATAATAGCGCAACCCGTTTAGAATTCTTCAAAACTGTACTATGTGTGCTTTATGTAGAAATCCGATAAATGAGACTGGTTCAAGGCGAAGTCTACCAAGCTCTCACGGATCTATACAACTGTCACTAAGTGAAGGTTCAAACCGAAAGGTACCTCCACCTATTACATAGTATAAGGGAACCAGCAATCTTATTTATTTTTAAGTTCTTCTTTTATTGTTATTTCTGAATTATTTTAAGTTTTAAGTTATGTAGGGGATTGTTGGAGTTATATAATAAAGATAACTTAAAACTTGGGTTTGTAGAAGAAAGGAGGAAAACTTTAGTCCCACATTGAAAAAGAGATGGAAAGATAGGCTCTTTATAAGCCTTCCCTTTCTCTCCTATGCCTAGAAGAAAACAAAGGTTATGCTCCACACCACACACGCGCGCGCCGGCCGGGCCGGGCTCGGGGTCGGGTCGGGTGGCGCACGTACACGACCTGCGGACACGAATGCCGCTCCGGATTAATGGGCCTTTAATCTGCTACATTTTTATTTTTGAATAATTAAAATGTAATATTTATTTTTAAACAATTAACATGTGATAAACATTTTGTAACGGTTAGGATTAAATATTTTGTAACTGTTATAATTAAAATACCGCGGATTTATGGATTTAAATGACAAAAAAAAAACGGCTAACGTTAATACATTAATGGGTGAGTAATTAAAACGTGTTAATTACGAGATTTATGAGTAACGGCTGGTTTTTTCCCTTCAAAAGTTTTAAATCCGGAAGAGTTGTATATAGCGAAATATAACAAGCTCTTCTTCTCCTTCTCTGTTCTTCCTCTTGAATTTACTTACTGTTACGATTTGCTGGTTCCCTGAAAGTCGAGAAGTTTTCGCAAAGCCTTCTTGAAGCTCGTGCCGACGAGAAGGAGGTCGCCTGACCGAGGGTCGTTGTATCTCCGGGAATTTTTGCCGCGTAGCCCTGTACGAGAGGGGGCAATTAGTTTCTTGGGACAGTGCTTGCACGCCTCGACCATCAGGCTATATTCTAAACTCAGTTTAATTTTATATCTATTTTTTATCATTATCTAATTCTGTTAAAACTGCATTTTGTGCTAATTACACTCTAAACAGCCCATATTCCCAACACTTGCTACAGCGCTTGACAATGTCTGGCATAACATATCGCATCCTGTACATCAATGTAAATTTATAACTTGAAACTTTAGACTCGTAACAGGTTATAACATGATGGACCTCCTCATTGGCATCTCTCTTTTAGTAATTCATTCACTAAAATGTGCAGCAGCACCTCGTACTCATCTCTTCATGATATCAATATGTACAACCGTCACCAACTCATTTCATAAGTAGACCAAGATTTAACTTATCAACTAAACACAACATAAAACGGCTACAACTTTACAAACTCTCTTAATTAACAAGAGTGGGGGGGAAAACCCCCGACCGCTTTAACATACATCACCGGTCTCCATTCACTTTCGCGCCTCTGTCATCGCTCTGATCGCTCTTCGACCTCACCAGAGGCACCTGTGACAAACCTGAGAAAATAATAATAATAATATAAAGATTTGTTTTCTCCCTTTTTCTATGGAAAAAGGAGCGGTGACCAAAGCGTACCATTCAATGATCTCTTGCAATGAGCAATGGCGCCGTCGATCCCATCCTCGATGAGAGAGATTGGAACTCCTTGTTAAATGAATCCAAGACCGCATGAGGCAAGGATGCTTACTTGCTCCATCGCTTATTACGCGATTTCACCTATATTGTGTAGTTGTGAGGCCGGACTAATGGATCAGGGCTGCTCACATAGTAACACAAATGAAGATACCTGCCGCAATGGCGATAATAGCGGCAACCCGTTTAGAATCTTCAAAACTGTACTATGTCGTGCTTTTTAGTACGAAATCCGATAAATGAGACTGGTTATCATGGCGGAAGTCTACCAAGGCTCTCACGGAGTCGTATACAAACGTCACGTGAAGGTTCCAAATCGAAAGGTACCCACCTATTACAATAGTATAAAGGGAACAGCATATCTTATTCTATTTTTCAAGATTTTCTTCTTTTATTGTTTATTTCTGAATTATTTTAGTTTTAAGTTATGTAGGGGATTGTTGGATGTTATATAATCAAAGATAGACTTAAAACCTTAGGCGTTGTAGAAGAAGGAGGAAAACTTATGTCGCCCACATTTGAAAAGAGATGGAAAATAGCTCTATTAAGCCTTCCCACTTTCTGCTCCTATCCTAGAAGAAAACAAAGTTATGCTCCAAAGAACACCACTACACGTCGGCGCGCCGGCCGGCCGGGCTTCCGGGGTCGGGTCGGGTCGCGGCACGTAACAGACCTGCGGACAACAATGCACGCTAGACCCGGCATTAATGCGCGCCTTAATCCTGGCTACATTTTTATTTTTGATCATTAAAGAAATGTAATATTTTATTTTTAAACAATTAACATGTGATCAACAATTTGTACGGTTAGGATTAAATATTTGTAAACTGTTATATAATTAAATACCGCGGATTTATGGATTTAATGAACAAAAAAAAAAAAACGGCTGAACGTAATACATATGGTGCAGTAAATTAAACGTGTTATTACGAGAATTTATGAGTAACCGGCTGTTTTTTCCGCTATAAAAGGATCTAAAATCGCCGAAGGATTGTATATTCACGTGAAATATAACAAAGCTCTTCTGTCTCCTTTCTCTGTTCTTCCTCTTGAATTTACTTACTGTTGTACGATTTGCTGGTTCCCTGAAATTCGAGAAGTTTTCGCAAAGCCTTCTTGAAGCTGCGTGCCGACGGAAGGGGGTCGCCTGACCAGAAGGGTCGTCTGTATCTCCGGGAATTTTTGGCCCGTGCGCCATGTATCGAGAGGGGCGCAATTAGTTTTTCTGGGACAGTGCTGTGCACAGCCGTCGACCATCAGGCCTATATTCTAAACTCAGTTTAATTTATATATCTATTTTTTATGCCATTATCTAAATTCTGTGTAAAAACTGCATGTTTGTTTGTGCTAATTAACACTCTAAAGCAGCCCCATATTTCCCAACACTTGCAACAGGCTTTGACAATGTCCTGGCATAACATACTCGCATGCCTGTACTATCATTGTAAATTTATAACTTGAAACTTTCAGACTCGTAAAAGCAGGTTATAACGAATGGACCTCCTCATTGGCATCCTCTCTTTTAGGTAATTCATTCACTAAATGTGCAGCACACCTCGTACTCATCTCTTCATGATATCAATAATGTACAGACGTCACCGCAACTCATTTCATAAGTAGAGCAAGATTAACTTAATACAACTAAACACAAACATAAATACGGCTACAACTTTACAAACTCTCTTAATTAACAAGAGTGGGGGGAAAACCACCCGACCGCTTTAACATACATCACCGGTCTCCATTCAGCTTTCGCGCTCTCGTGTCATCGCTCTGATCGCCCTCGAACCTCACCAAGGCACCTGTGACAAACCTGAGAAAATAATAATAATAATCATAAAGATTTTGTTTCTCCCTTTTTCTATGGAAAAAGGAGCGCGTGACGCAAAAGCGTAACACATCAACATGATCTCTTGCAATGAGCAATGGCGCCGTCGATCCATGCCTGTCTGCTGAATCAACGAATCGTCTCTCCTCTGCGGTGCACCGTCAACCCGGCTGTGACGACACCGCGCAACCGCCGACGCCGGAGACCGACTTGATCTTCCCAGACCGCTTCCGCACGATGCCTCAGCCGCGCCGCCGCCCGGCGCTTCACCTCTCTCGTCCTCGGACGCTGGAACGTCAGCGAGGCTTCAAGCCTGCCGCGTACCGGTCTTCGAAACCCTGACGTACTAGCGCCTTGATGCTTGCTGATGTACTTTTGGACCGTCTCCTTGGTGAACTTCTTCTGCTTCGTCTTGCAAGATCTGGGCCGGGCGTCTCGAAGCGATTTCTTCGAGCTGCCTTCGACCGACTGAAGAGGGAAACGATGGGACCTCCCTGGACTTGGAAGCTTGACGGAGAGTCGTTTGCCCTGGGTGATCAATTTGTTGTTCGATTTTGGTTTCTGGAGCCGAGGCATGAAGACTCGAGTCCTAGGTGGGCGATTTGAAGGAAAGACGGGGATTGCGAAGAGGAACTTTGGGATCGGAGTCGACGAGAGAATCGCCGGGAAGGAGGACAGGGAGATTGCTAGGACGCCGAGACGATGACGGCGAGGTTCGATCCCACCGCTCCAAGCGTCGCCGATTCCGACGTGGAAATCGTCCCCGCATTCCTCGTCGGCCGTCGTCGGTCGCGGTTTTGGACGGTGAACTCGAGGTCGAAGAAGGAGCTTTCGTCGTGTCGTCGTCACCGAGCGTCTACGTTCTGATTCCGTCGAGGTTGCGACAGCGGAGGCCGCGACGGTGGTGTGCGCAACGTCAAGCCGTCGCTGGGTTCTGAGGGTGCGCATGTTGCCGGCTCCGGGCCGCCGCCGCTTGGCGCGCAGTACTTGAAGGATGCTGAAGGCTTCCATAGTTGGAAAAGCCAGAGCAAGAACCTCTCCCCTCTCCAATGTGGTAAAGAATATTAAGAACGAGAAATAATAAAGAGAAGAGGGGAGGGGGGCGGGGGGGGGGAACAGAAGAGAGACGAGGGTTTTAATTTTGGAGCGATCTGAACGAGAAGTCAGTACAGGAGTCAGAACTTTGCAGAAAGAGACGAGCTTTTTAGGGGGGAGCGGGGGTAGAGAGAGAGAGTTTTGAAAATTGAATTAGATTTTGGCGTCCACTGCATGAGGAAGTACTGAGGAGAGAGAGAGAGCGAGAGAGCTCACGTGACGCCATATAATTGCATCATACAGTAGTTTATTATTAGTGACTGTTTCGTTCAGTAAATAAGTATGAGATCACGGATAGACATCAATTGAATGCAATGTGACTTAACGTGCTTGTTTTCTAATATATAGTTTTTAATTAGGTGTGGTGAGCGAATCTAGTCGAATCAAGCAGGGAGGCATTCATATTTATATTTGTGTAAAGTTATTGAATTCGAATGTCAACTCCAATATTCAAATACGGAGGTTTTCGAATTTTGAACTCAAATACTTAGTATTTGATAAATAATTATGAATATTCACGAATATTTATCGAATATCAAAGCACATTAGTTCCGCTAAAGAATTTGATTTTTAAATAGTATTTAAATTCATAAACGAAAATTTTCCATTTATAATATATGATGTATATACATTTAAATCAAAATTTTCATTAGAAAAAAGATTTAATATTATTTAAGTTTTAAAATCAGTACATGAAACTTAAGTAGAAATGATAAGTGGTTAAAAATATGACATCATATATGCAATAATACAAATAATAAGTGATCAAATTTTATACGAATATTTGATAAGCAAACGAATCGAATATACATCTAGTTAAATTCTATTCGTTAATAAAGTCGAATACTAGAAAATATTTGTTTAGCGGTAAATAAACTACTGAATCGAATATGACCGGGTAGTAACTCAAACAATTATCGAACTATTTATTAATTATTTGGTTCATTTCCACCCATATTTTTAATTCGATTTAACTAACAAACAAAAGCTTTTAAGTCAATTTGTATATTTTTGGTTAAAAATTTTATTCTTTTTTCCAATTTGGAGTCATAATTGCAAAAGAAAGTGTTTGTTTTGGGATAATAGGTTCTCTTGAATTTTGTTCGAGGTCGACCGTAGTTGGACATTGCCACTCATTTGCTCGTTTCATAATTGAGTATAGGTTACTGACAGTGGAAGAACCAGAAATTCATAAGAGTGGTGTCATAATGTATATATATATAACGATGATATCACTAAATTTTCTCACTTTCAATATAATTTGGAGCTTTAATGAGATACAAAAATAATTTAACTAAATACAATTACAATTGACTTGTACTTCATACTTTGAAATCGTTGTGCAATTACCTGAACAACTAAACATAACATTTTCAATATAACTTATGTATTTTTTATCTTTTCTTCTTAGAAATTGATGGTATTTATAGCTCATTGATTGCAAAGAATTGAACCTTTTAAGTTTATGTTCCTAGAGTAACTTTCTTTTTAGGTATGGGCCATTAAAAATTGATGGGTCACTACATATTATCCAAATGATTAGGAGTGTCACGTTGTTTTTTAGCTCACATATGGTTCATTACTTTTGTGTATGCTGGCTCCGCCTTTGTTTTCTAAGTGGAACTTAAGGTTTAACTTACAATATTTGTAGCAGCACGTCCTGAATAAGAGCTTGTTGTGTGTAGGCTGTCTAAAAATCACAATAGATAGCTTATCCCCCATCAACCACCGATGATGGAAGTTACAATCTGATGACTTCCAGAAGGCTGTAATCTGAAGACTTTCGCGTAGATTGCTGAAGGTTACAATCTGACGACCTTCACGACAACTGATGGAAGCTCTACTTCAACAGCCTTCATAATCAACATCGGGAGTTACAATCTGACGACTCTCATATTCTCAAGGAACCAAGATGAAGATTACAAGACAATGATCTTTGCAACGCTATGACAAAAAGAGATTACTTGGTGATAATCTCTTCAAGACAAGACGCGGAGGTCCTCCCCGTGTTTCAACATCAAAACGCCAAGGTCGAACCCGCGTTTCAACATCAAAACGCCAAGGTCGAACCCC